TTCCAAACTTTTAAATAGTCCTTTATATGTGGTTTAGAGTTCTGGGACCGTTCCCTGAGCCTTCTTGGTCTGGTACTGTGTACTGTTGCTGACAGAGCTCCTCACTGCACTTCCACCCTCTCCGCCATCTTGTTTGTTCTCTGAAATTTCTTTTAAAACAAACTCCCCAAATCACTGCAGTGACACTTTTAATAGCTGTTCTTATTGTTAGGTGCCATCAAGTCAGTATCAACCCATAGCAACCTTATGCACAGCAGAACAAAACACTAACCAATCCTGGTCCAACCTCCCTACTGTTGCCATGCTTGAGTCCATCGGTGATGCCAGTGGAGATAGGTTAATAGTAATTCTTGTTATCCTTTTTATGACTAATTAGCTGTTAACAGAAGTACAGTGTATTGAGAGGTGTTTTAGGAAGTGTATTACAAAGTGCCCTGGAGGCACTGCAAGATAAGCACTGGACTGCTAATCACAAGTTTGGTGGTTTAAACCCACCAGCCACTTCGTAGAATAAAGATGAGGCTTTCTGTTCCTGTAAAAAATTATGCCCCGGAAGCCCTATATACGTCACTATAAGTCAGAATCGACTTGAGTTTGGCTTTCTATGGTTTTGGTTAGTTTATTAACATAGTATTAATGAGTCAGATCACTTACAGAGTAACTCTACTAGTTGACTGGCCTTTGTTCAAGAACTCTTTATATCTGATCTAATAAAAAGGTCAATGAGAGCTACATGCAGACCATTGATTTTCTACAAATGAGTCGTCCTTGAGAAAGTAAATTCAGTATGTTTATTCCTGGTCTCCAAATAAGTGTTTCTAAAATATTTTTCAAGTTTGTGCCTTCTTTCTCATAAACATAAGAATCTATGGCAATCCCCTTCAATTTTTTTGAGGGAACTGCCTCTGATGATTTAAAGAACTAGACCCGTGTACCCCCCCAAGAACCAAGGAAATTGTGCCAATCTCTACTGCTTTATAGTCTGCATTACCAAAACAAAGATTTCTTGTTATAGATATTTGAAATGTAAATATTAAAATTGATACATTTTATCAATCCACTGATTGCCTCATCTAACCTGTTAGAACTCTGACTCCATCCTCTGCTTTGCCCTCTCTGCTCCAACCTCCTCACATCGCATTGGTTGAAACTTCAGACTGCAAAACTCTTCCCCATTATTCACATGGCTTATTTTCTTCTCCTGCTAGTTCCTGCTCAAATCCTAATTTCTTAGTGAGACCCGCTTCGAACTTCCTATTTATTTATTAATCCTCAATAGGCTTTATTTTTCAGAGAAACTTTAGATTTACAGAAAAAAAAAAAAAAGTCCACAAAGTACAGCATTTGCATGTAACTCCTACTCCCACTGCATACAGTTTGAACTTCCTGTTTAAAACTACACCCAACAAAAGTCCTCCCAATCTCCTTTTTAAAGTGTTGAAAAGCTTGAAGATATCACAGCTTGAAGACTAAGGTGCGCCTGACCCAAGCCATGATATTTTCAATAACCTCATAAGCATATGAGAGCTGAACAGTGAATAAGGACAACCATAGAAGAATTGATGCATTTGAGTTATGGTGTTGGAGAATATTGAAAGTACCATGGGCTACCAAAAGAACAAATAGATCTGTGTTGGAAGAAGTGTAGCCAGAGTGTTCCTTGGAGCCCAGAATGGCCAAACTTTGTCTCTCATACTTCAGACATATTGTCAGGAGGGACTAGTTGCTGGAGAAGGATATCATGTTTGGTAAGGTGGAGAGTCAGAGAAAAAGAGGAAGACCCTCAGCAAGATGGATTGGCAAAGTGGCAGCACCAAGGGGCTCAATTGTGGTAACAATTGTGAGGTCAGCCCAGGACTGGGCAAGCGTTGCATTCTGTTGTGCATAGGGTCACTATGAGTCAGTACTGACTCAATGGCACCTAACAACAACAATCTCCTTATCATGACTTTCTTCAAATATCTGGTCACATTCTGCATACTACGTTTTTCTACTTATGCCTATTTTATCTGCTTTCTCTAGCACAGTCCAAATGTAAACTCCTTGGGAGCAGATTTATTTTTCCTTTTTAGGTTCACTGCTATATTCCCATTGCCTACAAGAGCACCTGGCATTTAGTGGTGGAGGTGTTGGTGGTTGTATGCCACTGAATTGGTTCTGACTCATAGTGATACTGAATAGGGTTTCCAAGGCTTTAAATCTTTATAGGAGCAGAAAGCCTCATCTTTCTCAGCTCCCATGGAGCTACTAGTAGATTCGAACTACTGACCTTCAGTTAACAGCCCAGCTTGTAATCCACTACGCTACCAGGGATCCTTGGACATACAGTAGGTGCTCAATATTTTTGAAGTAATGAATGAATGACATCCATTCTCTACCTCGGCAACCTCATTCAGAACCTTCTAACAGTTTGATGTATTTCTACAATTTTTATAGGTACTTCTTCAGCTAATCACTGTTCTCTGATGAAGCATACCATTTTTCCTGACACCACACTTTTACTCATGTTTTACTCTCAGCCCTGGAAAACTTTACTAATCCCCACCCACTTCCTGGATAACTTCTACTCATTAGTTAAAACTCAGTCTACTCATCACCTCTTCTAGGAAACTTTCCATGAACACTCCTGTGTTGTTTCACCTACTTGCTTTAACCAGCTCTTGTGAGATTTCCTTTAATGACTGTTTGACTCTCTGCCCCATGAAACCACAAGTTTCATGGGGCAAGACCTGTGCCTTGTTCACCATGTATCCCTGATGTCTGGCATAGTAGCTGGCACAAAGTCAGTACTAAAATATTTGAATTGCTGAATGTAAGACTTGCCTCAAGGTCATTTTTATTGTGACCAGTTTGAAGACCTCTTCATCAACTGATCTTCAGTAACGTAACTACTTATGAATTTTGACTATGGTTAGGTGAGTAATGCATCATATTTCTAGCCACATTACTTCCACATTGTTCCTCAAGGGTTCAAGAATAACACGGAAGCCATGATTTAATTCAAGCCTGAAATTTGTCCTCAACGTACCTTAGAGAGGGGTCTTGTCTTCTCAAGTCCCTTTATCCACCATCCATAGTGAGTCATAGTGATGCTGGCTCATCTGAAATGTGGGTATAAGCTCCTATTCTAGATGGGAAGCACTTTCAACCTTTCCTACCCTCTCTCCATCACATGATATATTGAGAATAAGGAAGCACAAACAGGTGGTTCTTTGGAGATATAGAGTCTATTTGGGGAGTGCCCTGCTCCACATGCATATTAATGGGAATAGTGATAACATTCTTTTTCAGGGGGGTGCAGAGGTTTGGGAACCCATGAACTCATCTTGCTCAGACTGAGTCTTCTCCTTGTTTAGACAAATGTCTTCTGCTAACATAGGAGTTGAGATCTCGCGAAGACTTGCCATTTGGGTGTCACAAATTAATTGATCATCATGTTCAGGGCTCTGATTGGGGTGGCACATGTCCCAGGAGTGGCATAACTGAAGGGAGTGTTGTTGGAGATGACTGGCTGAGGACTGGGAGGCGTCAAAGAAGGCCACACTCTCCTCAGTTGGTGGAGTCTGGTCCTTGGGATCTATTGTTGACTTCTCTGACTGAGTGTCTTCCACATGGTTGTTGATCAGGTCTGGGCTCTTCTCAACATTTTTTGTTTCTGCTTTGGCCACTGTCACAGGATTAGAGAGGAGAATGTATTCCTCTTGCCCTTGGCCTTCCATCTTGGAGTTAAGCCAGTGTAGGAAGCGTTTCATTTGATTTCTTAAACCAGTTTCAGGAATTTCTAGAAGAGTGGGGCTTTTGTGAGAACGGGCTGTTCTGGATAGACCATGTAACTCTTGACCCTGACAAATCTAGGCCTACATCCCATGGCTCTGGAAAACTGGCTCTCAAAGACTGACTTTGTCAATTCTGGCCGAACAATGGTTTGTCCTGTCAGGCTTGGTTGGCTCTATGACCCCGAAATGTTTAACCCTGCAGAGTTTGGACCTGAAAATGTGGCCCCTTCAAATGCTGGATCTGAAAAATTCAGTCCAGCAAATGGTGGCCTAGCAAATTAGCCCTATAAGGTCTGTCCCTTCAAGGGCATTCTCAGGAATCCTAGTTTGGGTGAGAGATTCAGCTTGCTTTAATTGTCTTACAAATAATTCTCATCCATTCCTTTTGCCCCCATGGGATCCTGGAGGATGCTCTGGGATCTTTAGGTGATGGGGAAGCTGATGAAGAAACTCACAAAGAACAGCAAGTTGAGAGGATGGAGATGGTGGCTCTACAAAGTCATATAGATCCTGTTAGTCCCTACTCACTCAATGTACCCGTTGGACCAAGTGAAATTTTGAGTTAAGAAAGAAGATCCTAGAGATACATTTAGGAAATAAGAGGCTCTATAAAGGTACTGCCTAAAAGTACCCACATAGATTCCTCAACCTCAGAAGAGTGGCTGCTCTCTCTGGTTAGGGAGAGCTCCACTTCCCTTTTCTGTGGTCCTCTGAGTCCTATGTATTCTTTGGGATTGGGGTTAAGGTTAAGAACTTGTCCTTGTCCTTACCCTTACAAAGTCTGAGTTACAGTGTCCCCTAGAGTGGTGCTATTTACTTTGGCTTTTGTCTGAAAACAAAACCTGGACATCTGTCATGTTGCTACTGGGTTTTGAGATCTTAGAAGCCCAGTGAGAAGAACCATGAGGGACTCTCAGAATTAGCTTACTTTTGGTTCTGCTGCACTTTAGTTCAATGGCAAGCTGAATCTGGAGCACATGGGATGCTTGGTGGGATGGTCATTTCCTGGAAGAGTCTTTTTCCTTGGTTATTTAGATTCCTAAGGGATGAACTGAACACCTAGTTAAGGTCCCAATGCCAAAACTCATCAGACCCCAGAAAAGGTGTTGGTTGACAGTAGGACAGTGGACATAGTGGTTGGAATCTACTAAGGAGTGTGTAACAGCTCACCTGCCAAATCAACTAGCTATCAAAGTGGATGTTACTGGGGCGTTGGGCCCATACCTGGCCTATGCCAGCAGTTGGGGTATGCTCGAGAGGAATGGGAACAAGAAGGGTGGGTGGGAGTTGCCCCTGCCTCTACCATGCTCAGATTCCCCATCGCACAGGCTCTACACTGAGACAAGTAGGAGAGTCACTGCAGTGGACCTTCAAGCCTATGAAGTGCTGGTGTTGCACTACAAGAAAAGCATAGACTGCTAACTGCAAGGTTCACAGTTCAAACCCACAAACCACTCCTTGGAAATCCTATATCGGGTCCCTGCAAGTCGCAACTGAATCACACAACAACAAAGGACACAGGTGGAGACAGGCATGACCATTTGTTCCCTGGGCTCCTTTGTCTTTATGTGACTCCGCAAATGTATTTCCAGGATCTTCTTTCTCAGGTGGACATTTAGTTAGCCAAGATGGGTACCTTGAATGAGTATAAGCTACTAGGAGCTGTATTGTCTTCTAGAGGTACCATCTCTGTTCACCTGCCTTCATTCTAGAAATTGTGTGTCCTGTCTACACTTGTCTCATTGGCATCTTTAAAACCTGTCCAGGACTTATATATTTTCTTCAGACTACTGCTACCCCTGTACCCCCAGCAGGACCAAGCATCATCCCTGTGGTTGCAGATTGGTAGGTGATTGCTGAACCATGGATAAAGCTAAGACAACCCTGCAGGAAGGTCAAAACTTGTGTTCAGTTTCGTAACGACTACCTGAGAGAGGACCTAGGCAGTTCAGGGTGCTCATGACAGAATCGGATGCAGCTTGGTGCTGCTGGTCAAGTTCTGTCCGTATTCAGGGCTTCAGTTCCTGATGCATGCATGGGATGACAGCTGCCTTCAGGTCCAGGCTGCAAGGGAACTGAGTCATTGCCAGGGCCTCTGAAATCCTGTAATTTACAGTGATTTTCAGTCCCCACAGCTACACTTCCCTCACTTGAATCAATGTGGCTCTACAATATAGCCCTGACCTGGAACAGCAACTACAGCATGGGTTTGACCCTGCTGTTACAAAGAATCAGAATAGGTTGCTATGTCCATTTTCTGTGGAGCTAGGTTAAGGGACAAACTGTCTATGGCAATGTGTCTCCTGGACTGGGGCTACTGGTCAATGGGGATAAGACCAACTAGATGGGTTTCTGGATCTTCTAGGTAGACCCCAACAATGGAGTCTATCGTCTGGATCAACTGCTTCTGAATTCCATAAGCCTCTGAACAGAAAAAAGCTTGCTTATTCTTGAGGATGAAAATGGGCTATCTAGCCACTCCTGAGAAACCCTATACAGGGTCGCTATGAGTCAGAACAAACTCGTTGACACTTAACAACAACATGAAGATGAAGGAGTCAATGCTGAAGAGAAAGAAAGCAGGGTTCCCTTTTTGTGAAAAGATCTCCAGAAGGGGGCTAGCGACTCACTAAGGAGAAGCTATGTTTCTACTGTAAATGGCACACTGAGGCCTCAGTGTGTCTCCCACATAATGGACAGAGACCTCTAGGTCCAAAGGTGGGACAGACTAGGCCAGAACCATAGTTTTGGGTTTTTTATCAGTGATATTGTGACTGTGGATTCATAGTAGATCCTTCAAAACCCCAGAAAGCTTAGATGGGCTGGTCAACCTCCCATGAACCCCATGTCAAGAGATAAAAGGTTGCCATTATTTTCAACAGAAGCCTTACAGGCTTGAAAGAAATAGTTATGGGTGTGGGGGGGTCTGGTTTTTTAAAACCATGAGAAGGGGGTGGTATAATCTGCCACCAGAACTGCTCCACAGATCTGAGGAGCCCTCAAGTGTGGAAATGCACCCCTTTATAATGTTCTTAAAGAAACCTCTGGGCTTGGAGATGCAGGAACAGCAGGTGTGCAGAGAGTGCGTCTAGGTTAGTGAGCACTGGGTTCAGAAAAGGCAAGGGGCCCTACCATTCAAGGGATACTGACCTTCTTTCTCCAGGACAGATTCAGAATTGCTCTTTTCCCTCTCCTGCTGGTTCACAGGAATCCCAAGCTCCTCAAGGCTTGAAGAACACAGAGCTTCTGAGCCCCAGGACACAGCTGGTAGTTGACATTCCTTCCCCAGCTGCAGGTGTTCATTCCAGTAATGCTGAATGCTGACCTCAACAGTTGATGGGGCAGCCGTCTGGGTTAAAGATTTCTGATCTGTGACTTGTGTCAGTGTGGTGGTTACCGATGTCAGTGAAAGCTCTCTGGTGTGCTTGGAACTCAACTTCACACTCAGCTCAGAGATACCAGACATGGACATATTCTCTAAGTAGGAGGGCTGCTGTGATGCCTTGGCTGAAGTGGAGACCATCAGGGACTTTTTACCCTCCAGCAGTTGCTGAATCTCCAGAGCCACATCATTGCAAATGTGACAGCAAGGATCTGCACACAGGAGTCTCCTCACACTTCCCTCCTGAGGAAGCCAGCTCTGGCTGGGAAAGGAAACATAGCAACTGTTACTGATGCAGTGACATCTGCCCACTTGGAAGAGTGTGACTGGAGGCGGGGGGGGGGGGTCACCCTGCCTCCTCCTGGGTCTGGAAGCCCTGGGCCTTCCCCTGGAAGTCTACTGCTTTGTTTTCTCCCTAAGAAAGAGCCATTCAGCAGGTTAGCCTGGCTGAGCTGAGGGTCTGGGTCTTGTTGGCAAGTTCTCAGACAACGACTCTCCAAGCAGACTGAGAGGTAGGGTTCAGTTTGTTTCTGAGCTTTGTTGAGACACTGAACTAGGAGAAGGACTCAAGCAGTTTGTGGGCAGTGGCAAGTGGTTTGGTGATGGGGCAATACCAGCAACACCAACAGGTAGAGCCTAGAATCAATCTCATATGGAACCAAGAAAGCAAAGTCTATTATCAAGTACATTTCCATCCTGAAAGGAAAGAAAATTAGATTCTTATAGGAATTCTGCATTCTGGGGACTAGTTGTGGGGTAACCCTGCTACTGTACACATAGCTCTTGTGATCTACCCCATTATCTAAAGACCTTTACAGAATCAGATGATAGCCCTCTTGTCCCAGAACTGGCCTCCCCGAGAACAGGCAAGAGGAAGTAATTTCTGCAAGGCAAGTTTGTTATGAAAGGGTCTGGCCGCAAAAAGTGTATCACAGTATTGACATACGTATGCAAAATCCATTCTCTTAGCTGGATAACTTGCTTTGCTGAATTCAACCCCATGTAGAGTCTTTTATGAATTAAATGCTAGTCAAATCCTGAATTTCAGGCGTTACTGTGGCTATAGTACCAAGAGTGGAATTTGGGAGATTTCTCTATCTGTCCCCCTTGGCTCTGGCAACCCTCTTAATCAGAGAATCATCCTCTACTGTATATTGTTCTATCCCAGCCATATTCCTCTGCCCAATGCCAAGTTGAGAAATTATCACAGGCCAGGCTGTGGGTTAGAAGAGTCAAAATAAGAAGTCACCTTTTCATAAGAGATAGCAGCTTCCTCAGCTTCTCAGCTTCTTCTTGGGAAACTCTCCTAGCTGAGAAACCAGGAGCTAGTGTTAGGTGTTACAGGAGAGAATCAGGGTCATCCTGTATGAAGCTGAGGCTTTTGACTCTGAATAAGCAAAATCTGAAAACGCTCAGTCATATTATAAGGATTTCTACACAACTGAAAGGAGCTCTGGTAACATAGTGGTTATGAGTCAGGCTGCTAACCTCAGGTCAGCAGTTTGAAACTACTAGCAATTCAGTGGGAGAAACATGAAGCTTTCTTCTCCTATAAAGATATACAGCCTCAGAAACCCGGGTTGCTATGAGTTGGAATCGACTCCACAGCACATAACCACCACCACCACCATACAACATAAACATTTATGATGTGTTATCTCATTTCTAATCTCACTTGATGTTCATAACGCCAGTGTGAGGTAGGATCATCAATGTTATGCCCTTTTTTGGATAACAACACTGAGAGAAGATGTAACTTCCATAGGGTCATAGAACTAGTAAATGATACAGAGACTTCTGTTCCACTTTTTCATTTCTTCATTTGCAGCAGGGTAGACAACTTTGGACAGCCCCAGTTTCTGGTTTCCCATCCAAGGATGTTTCCATGAGACATTCTCAATATGGGGATTTCAAACCTCAGTGGTTAGAGTACCTGACACCTAGTACCCAAGGGTCAGAAATGGTCAGTATCCATAGGAACCTTACACACTGAAGAGGAGTCAAAAAACAAATTGGGACTTTACCTTTTGTTGTTCTTTCTCTAGACCTTTGTCTGATTCTTTGGTGACACTTTTAAAGACAAAAAAGTTAGAATGGTATGAAGCTGCAGCCCAATTTTCATATCCAAAATGAGATAAAATCCATAAACATTATCTAATACCTTTCTATATTCCTCCAATTGTGAAACTTCCTTACCTTTTATTTCCCTACTCTTTCTTCACCCCAACATCTCCTTTTTCTACTCATTTCTGACTGACTTCCAAGCTTTTGTTTATCCCCCATACCTTCCATTTCCATTCCCAGATTGAGGTCTGTAGAGAGTTTAAAGTAAAACAGGAGGAAAAATGGAGCAAATCAAAGAGTGGTTAGAGTAAACCAAGGATGATCGGGCATACAGTGAGGGAAATCCCATAAAAAATGGAGTTAAATGTGATAGGAGAGCGTCAGCAGCATCCTCTAAGAAGGTGAAAACAAAGATTTTAACTGAATCAGAGTGATGGTGAGAGGCTAAAATAGTCTTGTTTGAGGCTTAATTCAGGCATTGTCATAGTGTTTCCCTACCCGGTAACAGGTCCTCTTAGGTCCCAACCTTAATCCTTGCTGGCTCCTTTTCAGTTGCCAAATAATTAGTATAATCATGAAGATAGAGCCATAGGTATATAAGGGATATCCAACATCCCATAGAAAAAAGGTCGGGCTCAACATGGTCTAAACTTCACTAGTCTTCTGTCTTCCTAGGTTTCCAGAACCTAATGCCTCCAGATTCTAGACATTCCATCTCTGACTCACAATGGATGGAACTAGGCTACGAGACTGCATTATAAAGCCCTCCTACTTCACAAGGCAGGCATATAGCATCATCTGACTTAGAGAAGTTCATGTGGTGATTCAGTGATCAGATTGTCTTTGTGGGTTGCAGACAGTTGTCTGTGTGATTTGCAAATCCTAAGACTGAAGGTACCATGGTCACAGGCAGCATATGCCCTTTCATGGTCTTTCTAGTCCCCATACCCTGATGTCTCAACTCTGTCTTGTCAACAATAATGTGGTTACCTGTCCCCAGATAACTGAGCCTTTATGCACACAGTGAGAGTCTATACCTAAGAAAGAGAGTGACCAAGTCAGAGGAACTCCATCAACGACCTCACTTTTACTGGGAAAACAACTGAAAAACACATATAAGCAGATAGGGTAGGCATTGTGATGTCATCTTAGAAACAGTTTTAATGTCACAGGCAATATATGGTTAGTATTCAGGAAGGGGACCATGTCCAATATGTCTAATAAAGGACAAAGCTGCAGTCCTTGTAAATAGCATTCTGAGAGTTAAGAAAGTGTGTGTCATAGGGGAAGAGATTGTAAACACTACTTTTCATGGAGGCACATGATTGAGGCTGACTTCTGGAAATCTGTCCCAAGGATAGGTTTTCCAGAGTGACCTGAACAAGTTGTACAGCATCTTGCCCATTCATGGAAATGGGTTATTTGAGAGACATTTAATTAAGGGCTACAAACTTGTGGTTCTTTGACTGAATCCCTCTTGGTTGCAATGTTTGGCTTTGGCTTTTTAGAATCTCAATTTGAACACCTTTAGGCAGGGTAAGTTTTCCCCATATTTACCTCCAGTATCCACTACTCCTATGTCCACTGATTCACGCATTCATGTTAGCATCTTAACCCATCAACATTATGATATGCCTTCAACATACCCAGATTTCTGAATTTCATTTAGATAGTCTTACAATGATGGGAGTGATCTCATATCAAAATATTTTAGGTTGAAAACCTCTGAAGAAGCCACCTGACACTTCCTCCAGCATCCAGTCCCCCACACATCAGGCATGGTGAGCATTCAGTATGGACTCATCCCTAAACTGGGCAGAATCAAGGGTTCAAAGACATTTGAGTTTGTCGTTGCCTGCCTGTTCTCAAGGCAGTTAAAAAATCTAGTTTTAAAAAGAAGGTTAATTCACATAAAACAAGAGCCAACCATTTACTTCAAATAATTTTATGTGCTCAATTTTGGGGTTCAGATTTCAAACACAATCTTTCAAAGGACAGAAAGCTTAGGCAGGATCAGGGTGGCCAGCAAGGGCTCTTGGGAAAAGTGACACTGGAGTTGGGTTGGGGGAAGAGAAGAGTGTTTCAGGTGAGAAAGTTATAAACAAATGATGAAATTGAGGAATGAGCCACAGAGTTTGCCAATGAGGAAGGGGATCAATCTCTAGCTGAGGTGTTGGATGATTGGAGAGGAATTCTGAGGAAAGTTGAGAGAAGCAGGAATGACATGAGGTCTTTTGATGGAGAATGAAGCGGTTAGTTTTGTGTTAGCTAGGCTGTTGTTGTTAAAGTGCCATCGAATTGGTTCCAACTCATAGTGTATAGGGTTTCCAAGGAGCAGCTGGTGAGTTTGAACCACCAACCTTGTGGTTAGCAATCTAGTGCTTACCCTACAGTGCCATATCAGGAATTCTGGCTAGGCTGTTGTTGTTAAAGTGCCATCGAATTGGTTCCAACTCATAGTGTATAGGGTTTCCAAGGAGCAGCTGGTGAGTTTGAACCACCAACCTTGTGGTTAGCAATCTAGTGCTTACCCTACAGTGCCATATCAGGAATTCTGGCTAGGCTGTTGTTGTTAAAGTGCCATCGAGTTGGTTCCAATTCACAGAGACTCTGAATAGGGTTTCCAAGGAGTGGTTGGTGAGTTTGAACTGCTGATCTTTTGGTTCACAGTCCAGTACTTATCCTACAGCGCCACACCAGAAGTCCCTAGTTATTTAATCAAAAACTACTCTAGGTGATGGTGTGAAGAAGACTTTAAGTGAAAGGAGACTAGCCTCAGTAATGTGGGTCTTAACTGCCAGCCACTTAAAAAGGCCTTAAAAGCAAAAGCAGGTTTCCTAGAGAAGAAGAAATTCTACCTCAAGGCCTTACAGATTTCAGATTCACCAGTCCCATACAATTGCATGTGCCAAATCCACAAAATAATACTCTTCATGTAAATGTGAGTGTGTGTATCCTATTGGTCTTCTTCTCTGGAGAACCCTGACTGATACATGGAGTCTTGGTGTTTAGTTTCTTTCAACCACTAAAATGAATTTATTTTGAAAGACACATATCTATACGAAAAACCCAAAGCCCACTGACATTGAGTCTATTCCAACTCATAATGCCTTTATAGGACAGAGCAGAACTGCCTGATAAGGTTTCCATGACTGTAAATCTTTATAGAAGCAGACTGCCACATCTTTCTCTCTGGAGTCACTGGTAGGTTCTAACCTCTGACCTGTTAGCAGTCAAGTTCTTAACTACTGAGATACCAAGATTCCTTAGCATTCCTAAGGATAGTACAAAATTCAAAAGGCCCCAAGGGTAGTTAGTATGTATGTGTCCATCCCACCTTTGCCTCCCACCTCCCATTTTTCTTCTCTGGAACCAATCACTCCTATCAGATTCTTGTGTATCTTTCCATCTAGTCATCTAATTGTTGTTGTTATGAAGTGCTGTTGAGTTGGTTCCAAATCATAGCGACCCTGTATAGGGTTTCTGAAGAGCATTTGGTGAGTTTGAACCACCAACCTTGAGGTTTAAACATTGTCCAGACATGTACTATTTTACTGATTGTTGGTATGTTTGAATCCATTGTTTTTACTATTCTGTCAACATATTTCCCTTATATTGCTTCTCTGCCATCTTGTTCTAACAATTGGTCTCTCCTGGTAATATGTCCAAAGAGAGTCTTGTCATCCTCACTTCTAAACATTCTGGTTATATATCTTCTAAGACTGATTCATTGAATATTCTTCACCAACACCACAGTTTGGATGCATTAGTTCTATCTTCCTTTCTCATTGTACAGATTCTGCATGTATTTGAGACTTGAAAAGACCATGACTTGGGTCAGGTGAACCTTAATTACCAAAGTGACATCTTTGCTTTTTAAAACTTTAAAGAGGTATTTTGCAGTGGATTTGCCCAATGTAAAACAAGGATAAGTCAAAGATTCTTGCTACAAAGGCTTTGGTTTATATGTGCAAGATTTATTCCAAACAAAATGTGTTTAAACATATCTCTGTGATCTGTGGATGACGGTAGACAAATATGCTTAGTAATATTTGTCTTAGTCTCATTATAGCACCATCAAAAAAAGACCCAATCAAAACAGTGGCTGCCTAGAGGATCTACTGGTCTAGTTAAATTCAAGGTAGAGAGGCCAGCTTAGGAGGTAATAGTGACTCTTTTCTGGCATTCCAAAGGCGTAATCTTAATAGATTTCTCAAAGGACACAGGATGATCACGGGGCTTTATTAGAAATAAGTTTTCAGAAAATTGAAAACTGCACTGACCAGAAAAAAATCAGGAAAATTACACCAAGGAATTTTTTCCTATCATGACAGTACACCTCACCTGCTCATTCTCTGCCAAGAATTTCATTGGCAAACCTTACTTTGTTCACCCTACAGCCCTAAATTTGACCCTTCAGACTTATTTTTGTTTCCCAAACTCAAAGAACATTGAAAGGAATACCATTTGAGTCCCTAGAGTATACCAAAACTGCCATTTTTATGTGCTTTAAATAGAAGAGTGCAGGATTTTTCAGGGAAGGGTTAGAAAGCTGGAGGCACTGCCTTCAGAAGTGTCTAGATCTACTGAAAAAGATATTGAGAAATAATAGCTTCACTGAAGTTTCTGTTTAATAACAGTTTCTATTTATTTGTAGCACTACTTCTTGACTTACCCTTGTCTTGTCATGACATGAACCTCATATATACTTAGTAAGCTGCACTCAGCAAATGCTTCTAAAGTCAGCAAACAAGTGAGTGGTGAAAATTTGAATATAATAACTGCATTAATTGAGTCTCAATCTGTGCTTCAGGGCAGGGCAGACAAGAGGGGGTACCACTTTATCTAACTGACAAGCTCTATGGTGCTAAGTGCAATCACACCAGGAGTCACTGATGGTGTGATGTTTACTAAATAAACTGTTGCTCAGTTTCTGTTGGAAGTCAACACTGAAGCTTTTAATGAATATTCAGCCCAGGCCCCCAGAGGCCAAAGATCTTGTTATACTTCTGTTCTCATTTAGAGTTTTGTGGGCTTTCAGCAAATGTTAAACAAAAAACAAGACTTCCCTCACACCTCATCTTCTTGAGATTAGGCCAAGAAGACAGTTTACTCAGACTAGCTACAGTTCATTTAGGATTGCCATGTTTTCCTGGACTAAAGCCAGTGCTGGATAAACAGAAGTGAACGCAGCACTCTGGATCAACAAAAGTGGAAACTGGGACAACTTTATAGACTACATCCAGGTGACAAAGTAGCTGGCTAAACAAGGCTCCAATAGCACTGTCTTGAGGCACTGGATTCCTAACGCAACAGCGTCACTGGGGAACAACTAGACCACTTGGGGCCTGCCTTAGCTCAAAAGCCAGGTGTCTCAGGGAAGGGTAGGGAATTCTCCTTTCTATGGTTTTGTCACGTCTCATCAGGATTGGTGACATCCAGATATGCAGTAAGTTCAGTGTCTACATGTGCGTTTTGCACTTTGACACAGACCTGGTTCTTTACCCTTTAACCTTCTATGTTAGGAATGTGGCTTTCCCTGAGGCAGTCAGACATTCTTTCAGGAGCCAAGGGTCCACCACCCTGAAACAGCTCACCCTTAGGTACAGGTGCTGCTCATACTAAATTCTCCAGCTCAACCC